GTCATCCCGAGGCATAGTGGTGAGCTGCCTTTCTGAGCCGTTCTGCAGCTACCAGTGTCTCTTCTTATATTTATATTCTGTCTATTTCATTTCAGACAGTATTTGGAGTTTTGTATAATCTACTAGATGCTCATGCACTTGTGACACCGAGTCTTGGCACACACATTGGTAGAAGTTGGTATTTTATTATTTTCTTGGAATAAAAGTTTAACCATTGTACGTTTGATTTATTAGTTGGCTTGCCTAGCTGTAGTGTTGGGCGCCATCACGACCTATAGGTGAAATTGGGTCGTGACACTGCACTTCTTGTGCAGATTTTGGAGTTGGTCCCAACTGCGTACCATAGACTTGCTCGAATTCAGCTATTCAGAGGAGACTTGAGGTATAACTGCACAGCGTCCGCAGTTCCGAAGTCCTCTTCTACCTTATCTTAGTTGTGTATTATCTTTCAAACAACTTAAATTTTTTCAAATCATTAATTGTATTATCCTAGTAGCTCGTGCACTTGTGACACCAGATTCGGGGATGTATTTTGATGATTCGGTTGTTGTGATATTCCGCACTTTATATGAGTAATTGACTTCCGCTTAAATTAATTTGTTTAAAAATGGTTAAGATTTTTCTGACGTTGGCTTGCCTAGCAAGTGAAATGTTAGGCATCATCACGGTCCCGAAGGTGGGAATTTCGGGTCATGACAAGATGTTTTAATTTTAATGTACAAATTAATATTCAGATATGTATTCAGATTCATACGTCTTAATCTTAATAAAAACAAATGCGGCCTTAAAAGCTCGCCAAAATTGTGATTTCTAGACAGAAATTGTGTGGCCGAGATAGATTCACGAACGACCTCGCGCTGCGCACAGCTTCAAGGCAAACACAAATGGTTAACTTTCAGTTTGATCTGGAAAGAATGGTCGGGTAGCAATCAACACCGATGGTTCTCCTCGTCGAAAAATTCTCCGGCCAAATTCGTCGAATCTTTGCCGGTGGGCAAGCCAAATCACAGCCCAAGAAAACTAGATATAAGTTCATGAAAAACGGAAGCGTGCTCTCCGTAGTCCAATCTCAGAAAATTTGGTTCTAATTCCAAGAAGATGACAAAGTTTAAGACTGGAGGGAGTTGTACGACCAATTTTCTTCAATGAATTAGAGCTATATAAAAACCATGAAATACCAATGGAATGTCGATTCTTTTAAGTAAATTCACACAAATCATTTCAGTTATAAACATACTTATAATTATTCATCATTTTAGTAATGATAATCAAGCAAAGCAGCAGATTGTTTAGTACATTACTTATTTAGGTAGTAGTTCTTTGCGCTATATAAATAGCCAAATCCACTACCAAAACACACACATACATGATAGCATCAAATTTGTTGTAAATTTATTCCTCCAAATCCTTAAGAGCCCAGTTGAACTTCTGGCTCTGGCTGTACTGACTAGGGTGGCTGCCACCATAACCATGACCGTGATAATTCGGTGACCCCATGCCCGTGGCTGAGGACATATGGGCAGATTGTTGCATTCCACTGCCATAGCCACCATCACTATGGACCATACTGGTGTTGCTTGAAAAGTTGGTGGAGTCATGGGGCATATGCGGCCCCTGACTACCATAATGTCCGCCATGTCCATGGCCATGGCCATGACCGCCATAGTGTCCGCCATGGTGTTGGCCACCATGACCCATCATCATGTGATTGTGAGTGGACTGACCATATGGCATGGTGGAATAGCCCGAAGGCCTTGTCAGTTGCATAGAGCTGCCATGGCTACTGTCGGAATAGCAGTTTTGCTCGTGAGCGTAGGATTGGTGCTTGTTCAACCCAAGTTGAGTTTGGAGAACCATCTTGAATATTGATGCTACTCCTAAAGATGTGAAGTTTTGAGTTTTTGCTTGGTGAGAATGTAATCTTAGCTGAGCTATATTTATAGAGTTTTGGGCATATCACGACTAGAGGATTAATGTATATTATATGGAGTAATAGACTAGAGGATTCTAATAAGATAAGAAAGGCATCTCATTCCCATTTCTGATATAGAAGTACTAAAATGGCGCATATTTCAGGGTCATCGTCTTTTGTTCTTATGCATTAAAACAAGCACCAAACTTTGTTCCCCAATACCAACTTGACATGCATGGAATTAATCCTTCTTTAGGTATACGTACTCATCATTGGTAAACCCCAGGAGTCAGGAATAACAAAATACTAATTTGAGTGGTGCAATTTAATCGAATTGTTACGAAGTAAAGCAAAATCACTACGCTTAACGAAGGACCTTCCAATCTTACTGTTAATGTGATGTGACTTGGTGGCATCAAGATGATGGTGTTGATTTCTCGGAAGTTTACTTAACTAATAAAAATTGGTTAGAAAAGTCACTCTACTTCATTTAATAACCTAAAAGTTACTCAATTTTATCTTCCAATCTACTTTATTTAACTACTATAGTCATTCACCATCTACTGCTCATAATCACCATCATCAACTAATATCACCACCAACTACTACCGCACCCACAATCACTACTATTAGACATCACCTCATTAACTATCATACAATTTTTAATTTGATTAATTAGTACTATTTGATTTGAATTTATACTTTTAATTTTTAGATAAAGGTAAGTTTTATACATTCATACGTAGAGTAAACAAATAGACTTAATTATTTAGTATTCAGATCTTAATACAACATCTTAATATTTTGATGTGTATTGAGATTTAGACGTTTTAATCTTAATGCACATATTAATATTCAGATATTTGTTCAGATTCAGACGTCTTAATTAATCTTAATAAAAACATATGAGGCCTTAATACTTTTACTATTAATTTTTAATTTTTGTTTTATCCAGATGAATATCTTGAGTTGAAATATATGACTCTTGATGAATTACTTTCCAAAGAAATAATAACACAAAAAAACGAATAAGGGTGGAGAGATAACAAAAAAGTTGAACTTATTTAGGGTGGCCTACTTGGTTGCTTCCTTTGCCAGCAGGTGAGCTACTTCGTTCCCTTGACGGAAATTATGCCGGACCACTAGCTCCTTCTCCTTCATGGATATCAACCACCTGTAACTATTTATAAGAGAATTATAAGCAGATTTTCCATTTTCTAATAGGTATATTACCTGGGTGAGTCTGTTTCAATCAGTGGGAAAAAGATTTTTTCCAAAGCAAATTCCAACTTTGATTGAGTGCTAGTAGTTCTGTTGTAACGACCCGACCGGTCGTTTTGTGCTCTCGCGCATCGTCCAGCAGTTTGAGGCCTTGAGTAGCTTCACTTAAGGTATTATGACTTACACGCATGGTCGGAATTAAATTGCGGGAAGTTCGGATTTGGAAGGAAAATTCTAATTTCATAAGCTTTAAGCTGGAAGAATTGAGTAAGGATCGACTTTTGAGTAAAAGACCTCAGAATCGAGATTTGAAGGTCCCAATAGGTTCGTATGATGATTTTGGACTTGGGCGTATGTTCGGGTTGAGTATCGGATTACCCGAGAGTATTTGGGCGCGTATTGGGGAAAGTTGGCATTTTTAAGGTTTAAGAATTTTCTAAGTTTGGTTTGAAGTGGACTTTAGTATTATCGATGTCCGTTTGGGATTTCGAGTCTTGAAATGGGTTCGTATTGTGATTCATTACTTGTACGCAAAGTTTGGCGTCATTCCGAAATGCTTTAGTATAGTTCGGACGCGTTCGTCGAAGTTTGAGAGTTTGGAAGTTTAAAGAAGGGTTTTCGCCGTCGATTCGTAGTTTCGATGTTGTTTTACGTGATTTGAGATTTTGACTAAGTCCGTATCGTATTGTGGGATGAGTTGGTATGTTTGGACGGGGTCCTAGGGGCCTCGGGTTTGAAACGGATTGAAATCGGATCGAAATTTGAAATTGAGGCAAAGCTGGAGAATTTTGCCTTCTAGTGCAATCGCACCTGCAGAATTTTGCTCGCAGAAGCGAGATGGGCTTCACAGAAGCGGCCAGGAATGACTGAGGCAGGGGTCGCAGAAGCGGGCAGGTGGACCGCAGAAGCGGAGTCACACCTGCGACAGATCGATCGCAGAAGCAAAAAGTGAAAGGGAGGACTGCTTCGCCGAAGCAGCATTGTTACCGCAGAAGCGAGTCCGCAAATGCGGACCTTTTATCCGCAGAAGCGAGGGAAGCCATAAAAGGGTAGGGCAGCATCGCATCTGCGGAGCCGCAGAAGCGGCTAATGGACCGCATATGCGAAAGGTCGCTGGGGAGTGTGTTCTTTTAAAATGGGGGTTTGGCTCATTTTCACTTCATTTCGTCCACGGGAGCCGATTTTGGAGCAATTTGGGAGTGCCATCTTCATCATCTATTATGGGGTAAGTAATTTCTTCACATTGTGAGTTAAATACATGGTTCATATATGGATTTAAGCATGAGAATTAGTAAAAATTTGGGATTTTGGTGGAAAACGTAAAACAAAAATGGTATTTTCGGATTTTCTTGCCACGATTTTGGAAATGGAATTAGGAATAAATTATATATTTGTGTTCGTGGTATTATGGGTAAAGTTTATCTTCGAAAAATTTTGGAATCCGGGCACGTGGCCCCGAGGATTAACTTTATTGACTTTTAGAATGGAGTTAGGGACTGTTAGGAATTGATTAATTATAATCATTGGAGTATATTTTGATTGAGTTGCACATCGTTTGATTAGTTTTGGAGAGACGGGCATCAGTTTAAGGTGTTTGAGTGGCGTTTGAGCTGGTTATGGAACTTCAGAGCGAGGTAAGTCTCCTGTCTAACCTTGTGAGGCGGAACTATCCCCTAGGTGATATTTATTGTTATGTGCAACTAGTTGTGGGTGCTAAGTACGCACGAGGTGACGAGAGTCCGTACGTAGCTAAAGCATGCTTATGTCCGAGTAGACTTAGAACTTTATCATGTAATAATTAAATTATTTGAACTCGTTCTGCTGGCTTAATTAATTAAAGTTATAACTGAATTTGATTTAGAAATAAATATATGTATAATAGGCCGAGCCTTAACACTTTGAGTTGTGGCGAGTTATTTGAGAAGCGTAAAGATTATATTCGTTATGTGCTCATGTACTGTATTGTAAACACGTGTCTCGTAATTCGGTAAGTTCCTTCCTTTCTTGTGGAGTGGGCCGAATGCCTCGGCAGTATTTAGATGTATCTATGGTTTGTGCCGCACGACCCTCGGCAGTGTACACATTATCCAGGATCGGGCCGAACGACCTGGGTAGAATCGTGTGTTAGATCGCTAGTAGTCCACATATTCACGAGATAAATCTTCCACTAATGCCCGGCATTTTATGGCATTCCTTAATTATTTGATATTGACAATTAGCATTTTTTGAGCTATTAAGGTAGAATACAAGATCGAGAAATTTATACTTTAAAAGAAATATTTGGAGGATTATAAAATTTATAGATTTACCCCACTATTGCTATGCACTTCATATATGTTATGAATTATTATATTATTTTAGTGGACCTTTAGTAAGTGTCGATGTCGACCCCTCGTCACTACTTCTTCGGGGTTAGGCTAGATACTTACTGGGTACGTATTAATTTACATACTCATGCTGCACTTCTACACTAAATGTGCAGGATCTGACAGGTTCATTGGGTGATCATCTTGGCGCATAGGCGCATCTGTTGAGGAGAATTTATGTGAGCTGCAATTCAGGCTACACACCGCAGTCCATCGAGTCTCCATCATACTATTTATTTTATCCTGTCTTATTTACATTCTGGATAGATATTGTATTATTATGGTACTCCTTAGAAAATACTCATGTACTTGTGAGACCAGGTTTTGAGGATTCCTACGGGTTGTTCGTTATTGGAGTTTGTGTAAATATTATCATTTACCCTGTAAATTCTATTTTATACTTTTTAATTAAGGAAAATTTTGATTGTAAAATACTAAAATGAGTAATTAAGTTGATCAATCACCGTTGGCTTGTCTGACGTCGGCGTTAGGTGCCATCACGACCTTTATTGGATTTTGGATCGTGACATCTGCATGGATACAAGATATAGCTTGCACCCTAATATTGAAGCCCATACGACAATGCTCGTTATGGTCTCGAACAACTCCACCTAAACTGTCACGACCGAAAACTCGCTATAGGTCGTGATGGCGCCTAGCGTCGCCGTTAGGCAAGCCAACGGCGAACTATCACATTAGTTGTTCATTTTATTACTTTCGAAATCATAAATTTTAATAAGGAAGGAAATTTACACTTTTAAATCCATGGGAACATACAAAATTAGTAGTTTATAAAAGAAATGAAAGGCGATGATAATATACAGAACCGTAAGCATCAACTAGTATATCTCAAAACCCGGTGTCACAAGTGCATGAGCATTTACTAAGGAGTAAAATAATAATAAAACATTTGTCAGAAATGTAAATAAGGCAGGACAAGGTGAATAGTACGATGGGGACTCTGTAGACTGCGATGCGTAGCCTGGACTGCAGCTCACATAAAATCTCCTCAACAGTTGCGCCTACGCGCCAGGATGATCACCAAATGAACGTGTTAGATCCTGCACATTTAGTGTAGAAGTGCAACATGAGTACGTAAATCAACGCGTACCCAGTAAGTATCTAGCCTAACCCAGGAGAAGTAGTGATGAGGGGTCGACATCGATACTTACTAATGGTCCAATATATCAATATGGTAAATCATAAACAGATAAAAAGCACAACAATAGTAGTGAGGTAAAATTGTAACTAACACAATCTTCCAAAATTTCTTTTAACGATATCAATCTCTCAATCTCGTATTCTATCTCAACAACTCAGAAATATCAAGTGCCAATATCAAACGGATAAGGAAATACCAGTCCGTTTCTTTCTCGAATTATTTTAAATCCTTTTTCCCAGAATATTTCAAACGGGAAACATTCCCACCTGTTCCAACAGCCATGGCTGTT